AAACGGATAACGGGTGAATGAGAAATTGATTCTCGAAGTTCACTCGTTAAAAATGAAAAAACTAGGAAAATGATGGGTTTCTAGTGTATTTTATCTCACACTGGAAAACCCAAGGAATTTTCACCCCTTATAAAGGGAACCCTCTTTGAAGGAGTTAAGATTCCTACGGGGAAAGGCTCTCTTCGCGCGTAGGGGGTGCTGATCAAATCCCGAAAACGGAGAAGAAAATTTGTGACTCGTGTGCGCGGGCAACCTGCGGACACCAATGTCATCCAAAAAACTATCATTCAAAGATACGATTTAATTATTATTTCTTCCCATAAACGTTCCTTATTTTTTCAGCCTGGCAGAATCGCTCCGCTTCTGTCCGGACCAGAAGAGGGTTCTGTTCTCAACAGAACCGCTCCACTTCTGTTCGGCTCAACAGAAACCCCCGAGGTATTCTGGTCGCAACAGAAGGGGTCGAGGTATTCTGGTCGCAACAGAAGGGGTCAGGGACTTCTGGTCGCAACAGAAAGGCTCGAGGTCTTCTGGACCGTTACAGCAATAAATGCCCAACGTTCTTATCTTTTAATGCAGCGTTAAATGGATAGTTTATGGACGATTCAATGCCCAACGGACTGGTCATTGATGTCCAACGTTCAGGTCCATTAACACTCCATTTAACACACAACAAATCCTCCTATAAATAGGTGGCACGTTGTAAGGAATAATTGTAATTATATTTTGATGATGCTATATTAATTAGGATTTTAGAGTACCCCTTCTTTAGTAATTTGTATTAGAAATTTTCCATTGTAAAATTTCTTAGAATAGTCGACTAACAGAAACCCTCCTGACAGAAGACCTTCTGATAGACTTAGTCTGAACAGAAGACCTTTGGGTCTCTGCTAGTTTGTACTCAGACAGAAACCCATTGCCTCTCTGTTGGACTTCACTTTGACAGAATCTGTCAAGACTCTCTGTTTGTTCACTCCTTGACAGAAGACCTAAAGGACCCTCTAATAGCTTATTCCAACAGAAGTGCTCAAGACCTTCTCTGGGAGACTCTCTGCTGAAGACACCAGAAGGCCTGACACTTAGAGAATTTTCATGGAACTACTTGAGCCGGTGAAACCAACGGATTCCTTCAACGGCTAGAAGACTTCAACGGAAAAGCTACAGTACGCGCATTAAATGCACATTTAATGCACCCCGTACCCTAAAGAGTAAAAGCTGATGATTGGCCAACATTCCAGGATATTTCAGGATAACTTTATCCCGAAATAGTAACTCGCCAACTTTGTTGGGCCCTACTGGTCAAGTCAACGTAACTATTCGCTCATTTAATGCAGTTGTCCTCCTCCTCCAACGGGAAGACAACCCCAGTATAAAAGATACTACTCGAAGAACAACTTTAAAAACTTTTCTGAAACTTTGAAAAACTAGTGCTCGAACAAAATATTCAAACACTCAAATGCACAAGCTTTCTTGAGATCAAAACTTCATCATCATCAACAAGAAAGGCGTACGTTGGGAAGATAATCTTTTTCTATCTTCAAATCCCAACAAGAGCAAAGTTCCAACTATTCTTCAACTCTTCAAGCGCTTCAACTACAAACTTTTTGTAACGAAGCTAGTTGGAAAACCCCTGTTCTCTCAAGAACTCTTCTATGACGAGAAGGACGTTCAAGTAACTCGAGTAGTGAAGTGGTGATACTTCCAGGAAGCTCAGTGAAAGGACCAGTCTTAAAGGAAGCAAGGAAGTGCATCCCAGGAGACATCTAGGCTTGAAGAAGACGAGGAGAGCTTCTTAAGTGCTAGGACTAAGGCTGTGTAATTGGATTTTTACAAGCTTAGTGGAACAGTGGATTAGAGGAACGAGTTGTTCCTTGAACCACTATAAAAATCTCTGGTGTCATTTACTTGCTGCTTTTAGTTCTTGCATTTATCTTTAACTGATTAACTCTAGAATTTGGGACTCTGTGTTCAGCAGAACCCCCCTGTGAGTTAACAGAAGGCCTACTGCCTTTGCATCTCTTAGAGGCTAACCGGACAGAACCCCTACTAGAAGACCATCCGCTGTCAGTCTGTTCTATCAACAGAACAGGCTATTCTGTTAAATCTGGTACTTAGCTTGAAAAGGTTAAAAACTAGTACAGTCTATTCACCCCCCCTCTAGACTGTACCAAGTATAACCGGGACCAACACATGTGTTTTAAAAACACCAATACGAACTCTAAAAACACCTCCAGCTACTCCAAAAATTTCCTAAGTGTTCTACCTTGTTCCCGTTCGCCGGAACATTCGTTTGTGTGCTCAAACGTCAGTTCGTTAGCCACCGTATCCTAGGAAACGGTCGTTGCAACGCTCCTAACACCGTGGAAGGCGACGAATACGTTTTAAGGACATTGTGCGTAGCACGAGCTTTGGCTAAATTCTGTTCTATCTTATTTCTGTTTTCGTTAGCTATTTTATTTATTAATTAATTTTATTTGATTAATATTTCTTTGTTTTTCGAAACACACCCAACAATTTCCAAAAAAGACCAAGGGAGGAAGACCAAATTAAGTCTACGTTTGTAACTCACCATGGTCAATACGAATTCAAGGTTATGTCTTTTGGCTTAACTAACGCCCCCGCTACTTTTCAGAAAATGATGAACGAGATATTTGCTAAATTTATTAGAAAGTTCGTATTGGTGTTCTTTGATGATATTCTGGTTTATAGTAAGAGTAAGGAGGAGCATTTCCATCATTTAAAGCAAATACTACAGGTGCTACGGGAACACCAATTGTATGCCAAAAATCCAAGTGCAGTTTTGGAATGGAACACATTGATTATTTGGGATATATTATTAGCAAAGGAGTAGCAACTGATCCAGAAAAGTGAGAGCAATGGTGGAATGGCCTCAACCTATGTCCTTGAAAGGGTTAAGATCATTCCTGGGATTGACAGCTTATTACAGATCACCATACTATTAAGGAAACTCCTTTCAAGGCGCTCTATGGCTATGAAGCTCCTCAGTTATCTATCAGTCCGTATTTACAGTCTATTGATTCAAATGCACAGAAGATAGTACAAGAGCGGTCACGTATGCTGCAAAATATTAAGGAACATGTGGTCCAGGCACAAGAAAGGATGAAGAAATATACTGACTCTAAACGGACAGAACGATCTTTCCAAGTCACGGATTGGATGTTCCTTAAAATCCAACCGTTCAAGCAGGGTAACACATTACTGGTCAACCAAATTATGTGTCAAATATTTTGGGCCCTTTAAGGTGATTAGCAGAGTTGGAGAGGTGGCATACCGACTGCAACTTCCACTAGATTCTAAAATGCATGACGTTTTCCATGTATCCCTACCTAAGGGAAAAATAAAAAATAAATATAGTACTAATCCTACTCTACTAGAAGTGGATAAAAATGGCTGCCTGAAGATGTATCCCATAGCTGTCTTGGATACCCGGAAGGTCAAGGTGCGTCAGGATGTGGAAGAAGAGTTTTTGGTCTAGTGGAGCAATATGTTGCCAAAGGGATGCTACATGGGAAAGAGCTGGTGAGGAAGTTGCAGTTTCGAGACTTTACTTGGCCTTGAGGACAAGGCAAATTTCAGAGGGAGGCAATGTTGTGTCCGTTATTATTTTATACTACCTCCGTCCCTTAAAACTTTGCCAAAGTTGACCGGCACGTAGAATAATAAAGTAAAAATTGTGTGGTTGAGGTTTGTGCAGAGGAGAGAGAAATAACAGAAACCACAAAATAATTGATTAAAAGAGAAATTGGCAAAGTTTTTTGGGACGTCCCAAAAAATAAAGATGACAAAGTTTTAAGGGACGGAGGGAGTAACGTTTACTTAAATACGTGTTATACGTCTTACAGATATAGCTAATATAATGTCGTGCTATTATTTGCATTATTTTGGTGTTGGTTGTTATCCAAGGATAAAGGGCTGTTATTTTTACTGTGTCGGTGGGTAAGAAACGGTAAATCATTACATCCGCATTCTAGTGTTGTTTATAAATAATATGGATTGCAACATAGGGGACCAGTTTTGGATGAGTAATGAGATCTGTAAAAGATACCACCGGTGCAAGACCATCTAGCTACTGAAGCCCTTTTCCTACTTCTGTTTATATTATTTCTATGATTTGTGACTTAAAAGCTTGGTTGTATTGTTGAGGACTTTCTTTTACTAGTAATATTCAGTCTTGGGTCACAACACTATGAAGTGTCGGTATTCGGGGCTGGTCTCTTTGATGTGTTTTGCTTTCCAATACTAAGCATGGAGGGATCATGGTGTCTTCTTTGTCTAGTGATTCAACAAATGGGTCAGGTTCAATATCATGAATCATATCTTCACACTCCATTCTCATTGCTCCAGTAGCTCGATCCTCTGAGAAAATACTACAAAACTCTTCATAGTACCGCAAACTTTTTCGCCTTAAAGTTGCAACCTTAAAAGTGTATATATCCAAATTAATAGAAAAAATGTACCAATTAGGAAGTATCCAAATATTAAAGCAAAATAAATAATTAATTACATTACCTCAGCAAGAGCATCTCACACTTCATCAGGGGTTGTGACCATCTTTATTAAAGGATCCCATCCAAATCCACTTAATGAAGTAGTGGGCCCATTCAATAAGTCATAATACTTTTGCCATAATTGTTTCATATTTCTTATACGGGACTCAACGTGTGGCTTAGCATCCAAGTGAGAATGAGGTAACTTACCTGACATCATTTTAGCAAGCAGGCTTAAATATCTGAATTATACTTGAATTATAAATCAAGTATACACATTTGATAGATGCCCTCACAAGAAGGTTCCGAGTTCCACAGGGTATACACATATTTTATTCTAAAACTAAATTTTTGAAGTAAATTAATATACATATTAAAATGTATTGACGGAGTGTTACTATTTGGTTGATGGGGGTTATGCTAATTGTGAAGGATTTCTTGCCCCGTATAGAGGGCAAAGGTACCATTTGTCAGAATGGCAAAACAATTATCATCCGCAAAATGCACATGAGTATTTTAATATGAAGCACTCACGAGCTAGGAATATTATTGACCATGCATTTGGATTACTTAAGAATCGATGGGCCATCTTATGTAGTGCCTCATGGTATTCTATACGTATGACCTATCAGATTATAGTCGTGTGTGCTCTAATACATAATTTCATTCGACGTGAACATGATATTGATCCAATGGAGGATGATGAAATAGAAGAAGAGGAAGATGTAGATGAAGAAGAGGAAGATGAACCTTCTCGGGGGCTAATTAAGGCCTACCTAAGCATGGACTACATTTCGAGAAGATTTAGCAACAAACATGTACAACACTTGGATTTAATCTATTATGCAAGGTGACTTTGGATTTATTCTATCATGTAAGGTTACTTTGGATTTAATGTATTATGTAAGGTGACTTTGGATTTAATCTATTATGTAAGGTAACTTTGGATTTAATGTATTATGTAAGGTGATTTGGATTTAATCTATTGGTTTTGATGATTCTCATATGGGTTCAAATTTAATCATATTTGCATGTTCCCCTACTTGGCATCTTTGTGCGCATATTGGGTTATAAATTATGAACTAGTTACAACAACTTGGGATTTAATGGCAAAAACCATTCCAAGTGTCTTTGGATTTAATGTATTATGTAAGGTGATTTGGATTTAATCTAGGGAAATTACCCTAAATAGGAATAAATGAGGTTTGGAATTCCAAAATATGACTACTACGTTTTTCTTCCGAAAAAGGAGTTTTTACAGCCATGTATGAAAAATATGTCATAATTAAAAAATACCGCCATTAATTATAATAAATATTATCATGTTAAATGCACAGTACTGCAACTGTTTGACAATCACACCTACAAGATGACAGTAAATATTGTCATGTTAGTCCTATTTTCGGGGGAAAAACAAAGTAATCCTATTTTGGAATTTCAAACTTCATTTATTCCTATTTTGGGAAATCTCCTTTTAATCTATCTGGTGTTTTGTGTGTTCTGGACACATTTAACTACACTGTAAAAGCCAGATTTGTAGCCTGTAAATGCACCTAGTTAATGGGCATATTAAGGCTCTAAATGGACAGCAAGTTTAAGCTGTAATTGCAGCAACCTCAAGGCCTTTTTAAGGCTCCAAATGCAGCAACTTTTAGCGGTAAATGCAGGAAGTTAAGGGGCATATGAAGTCTATAAATGCACAACAAGTGTAAGTTGTAATTGCAGCAACTTCAAGGCCATTTTAAGGCTCCAAATGCAGCATTTTTAGCAGTAAATGCAGCAAGTTAAGGGACATATTAAGCCAATAAATCCACAGCAAGTTTTAGCTATAACTGCAAGAAGGTATAGGTTAAAGGGCATAGTAAGCCTGCAAATGCACAGCAACTTTAAGTTGTAATTGAAGGAAGGTATATATGAGATTGTAAGCCGTAAACGCAGCAAGTTAAAGGCCATATTAAGGCTCCAAATGCAGCAACTTAAAACTCTAAACGCAACAAGCTATAGGTCTGATTTGATGCTATAAATGTAGCTAGTTAATGGCCATATATTAACACGTTACAGGTCACATTAAGGTCAGATTGTGGGTACATGACTTGTGACGATTTTTGTATAGTACATGTCCTTATTAGACCCTTTTTTCCTTTGTGTTATTATCACAAATGGAGAATTTGAGATCTAAATCAACAAGAGAAAGAGGCAACTGGTGGCAGCCTAGTAGTTTCCTCCCAACTAGCAGCAAGAATGATTTCAGAAGTTACAGCACTTCATCTTATACTGCTATTACATATATTACATATATACGGAGTAATAAAAAACTTATTACAGTTTACTATATATGTATAATAAAAAACAGGCAAGGCTTCCTATTAAATCAAAATACATCCACACTCCTCAATCCCTATAGATATACATTTTACTCCATTCTACTGAAACATAAACTATTTTCTTATTATGACTATTATGATATGAACAAGCGGGCATAGAAACTTTCGAAAAAAAGTTTTATTCTCTTCAGATTCAATCTGTCAATAGCTACAATGTTTCAAGGAAAACAAAAACACCAGCTAAAGCAGAAAAATGTAAACAATCATCAACAATCCAACATGACACAACGGAAATAGAGGAGAGGTCATCAAGGAAATAAAAAGTCATAGAATAGAAGCAACAGACGGTTTCCATAGAATACATAGTTCAGCTAGACAAAACATCAATCGTCATTTGATTATATCATGATGAAATTAGACCACAAAATCATAGTTTTTAAATCATCCAGGAAGTATGATTCAAAAAAAAATCATCCAGGAAGTACATGGCCAGTGTAAAACCGGTGAGAAGTAGTGCCAAAAAAGTAATTCACGACTCGTCTTCTAAGTACCACTTGCACCAGTCCATCTTTTCTGCATCTGGCAATCCATAAAAGTACAACGACTCGCTCTGATTTTTTCCCATTTTCTTCATGAGCTTGTATTTCATATTTAGAGTCATTCCTTCGAGTTCACTTAAAGCAGTTGGTAGGCGTGATATCTTATCGGCTATATCTGTATCCACTCTTGCCATCTCCATTCCCGCCTTTTCAAGTCGAATAGAAGCAGCCTCCACATAAGCTGAGAAACTATCAATACTTGGCCCGGCATTTCCCTTCTTCTTGCCACGATCATTAGTGGTAGAAGAGTTGTTTAAACTAGTCTGTGAAGTGTCGGTATCCAGGGCTGGTCTCTTTGATGTGTTTTGCTTTCCAATACTAAGCATGGAGGGATCATGTGTGTTTTCCGTGTCTAGTGATTCAAGTATTCAACAAATGGGTCAGGTTCAATATCATGAATCATATCTTCACACTCCATTCTAGTTCCGGGTGCAGCCATTTAAATAATAGATAAAAGTTTGAATCTCATACAACCATTTATAAACTCTACGAACAAGTTCTTCAAAATCAGTTTTACTTTATTTGTAAGCTTTGATTAATAGATAAAAGTGATATACCTCTTGTCTACACAAAATTTGTGTAAAGTATTGGAAAATTACCCAAAATAGGAGCGAATGGGTTTTGAAATTCCAAAATAGGACTACTATGTTTTTCTTCCCGAAATAGAAGTTTTTACTGTCATGTATGAAAAATACTGACATAATTGAAAAATATTGTTATTAATTATAATTAGTACTGTCATGTTTAATGCGCTGTACTGCAACTATTTGGCAGTCACACCTACAAGATGACAGTAAATACTGTCATTTTAGTCCTATTTCTGAAATAAAAAGACAGTAGTCTTATTTTGGAATTCCAAAGTCCATTTACTCCTATTTTGGGAAATCTCCCTAAAGTATTTTGTTTGAACCTCAATTATAATTGAACCTCATTTCAGTTTGTTATTTATAAATTGAACCTCATTTCAGTTTATTTAAAATTTATAAATTATTTTGTTTAATTTACAAACTCAGTTTGAACCTCATTTCAGTTTGTTATTTGTTTAAACTATAAAACCTTGGTTGAGATTGTATCCTTCACAAAATTTACAGTGCAGTTTACCTGTGTTGGTTTCGCCATAATCACCAGTAAGAAGGTAGGCAATGGTTGGAGAAAGATAGGCAAAATACTATGGTGAAGGATGGAGGGAGAGATATATGAATTATACTCCCTCCGTTCTCAAAAATACTTCTCACTTTCCTTTTTGTAATGTTCCCAAAAATACTTCCCACTTTCCCATTTTGGACAATTTGTGTGTCTCACATTCATTTTACCTTTTTCTTACACAAACATACATTTCCACTTTATTCCACTTTCTTAATAAGCGTGCCAAGTCAAACCGGGAAGAATTTTTAGGAAGGGAGGAAGTATGTGGTATGAATGTAAATAAAAATTTGACATTGAAAAAAGTATCAATTATCTTCCATGATCTATAATGTTCTTAACATCTATACACACTCCTCACGTAATTTCAGTAATTATATACTCCATATTAAAATCTATGCTTGGATTTGTGTATCCTTTGTTATATGCTTAAGCAAGTAAGGATACTTAAATTTTGCCTCAGTCGTAATTTTCAATTAAAAAATTCAACCATTAATGAATCCTAGTTATTCATAGATATAAAGTTCATAAGTTAGTGATACCTAGTTCCTGAACGCGGGTTTCTGTCTGGATAGCTTTCTACACTCTAGCACTCCATAGATTCCCCAATAATAATTATGTGCTGTGGATAATGATCTTAAAGTGTAAAGATTTATTGATAAATTATATCATAATCTTATATCCACTCATTCCTGAATAAATCAAGACAGCAAAAAGATTTCAGATTACCATTCTTAATTCTGTAAGATTTGATGCAGCACAAGGGATACAACAAGTTCATTAAAAGATCATCTAAACAAAACGAGACCATCTACAGGCTAAACAAACAACAAGGTAGTCCAGTCCTATTCAAAGCGTTTAAGCATCGCTATCTTTCTTCTTGGGCGACTTTAGGGTGCTCTTCTTTGGTTCCTTTCCCGCAGCGTCGCTGTCTTTCTTCTTGGGCAGCAGAACCGGGTTAATGTTCGGCAGAACCCCGCCGTGCGCAATCGTCACTCCACCGAGCAACCTCCCGAGCTCCTCGTCGTTCCTGACGGCAAGCAGAATATGTCTGGGGATGATTCTGTTCTTCTTGTTGTCCCGAGCGGCATTTCCGGCCAACTCCAATACCTGTTCACAACAACCCACCGGAGAAGATTAATAAAAACAGCTCATCAGAAACATGAAACAGGGAGGGGAAATGAAGGGGAGAGGCGGGTAAAAATTACTTCGGCGGCCAAGTATTCAAGAACGGCGGCGAGGTAGACCGGAGCACCGGTTCCGACACGTTGGGCGTACCGGCCCTTCTTCAGGTAGCGACCGATTCTACCTACCGGGAACTGAAGGCCTGCACGAACGGATCGAGTGACCGGCTTCTTCTTCGGACCACCAAGTTTCCTGCCGCCGGCGCCCTTCTTGGTTTTCGTCGGTTGAGTATCCATTGGAGATTTGAAGGACTGTAAAGAGGGTTGATGGTGAAGGAGAAAGATGGAGGATGGACTGATGCGGTTGAATTCGGGTCCTCTCTTTGCTTTATAGCAAAGTGCCAGTCTGTGTGGGGGCTTGGTTTCGGGTTGGAAGCGTTTGGCTGTTGATTTGATGTTAATCGACGGTGGAGAAACGTTAAGATGGTAATCCGTGCGTCTATTATAGACCAATAGGAAGCGATTCCGAATTCACAAGGCTTCCCGCCTTCAAGTTTCATCATTTTCGCGGCTCCAAAACGAATTCGAATGACCAATTTTTTTAAAAGCAAAAATACGACGTGTTCAATCTCCTTCCAACGAAAAAATATTACCTCTGTTCCAAGTGGTCGGTCATATTACCTCGGTTCCAAAAGTGTTCAATGTTATTTATCATTTTTTTCAAAAATTGCAAATTTATGATGTTAATTTCATAATTTAAAATATCGAATTGAAAACTTTGCAATTACATAAAATGGGGGTTAATACTATTTATTTTACAATCGAAATATAGAATATTAATTGTATCTTCATGAATGCTAAAATATTTTAAATTATGAAATCAACACCAAATATTGACATTTAAGAAAAAAATAATATATGATTAAGGTGCTAAAATAACTATTCATATAAAGTGTGGGGTATTTAAATTACATATGCAAGTTTAGAGTGTTTACCTCACACATCTTCAAAGTTTGGGGTATTTTAATTATTTCCCTTTTTAATTATTATATTTGTATATAATAAATAAACTTTATACTTTTATGAAAATACTTTGAATAAGGAACATTTTGATAAAATTTTCATGTGCTAAATCATTTCATAGTATAAAATATCATTGGTCAAAGTTGATTGTCGTTGATCAAGAAAAGTCAATTAGGCGAACCTTTTTGGAATGAAGGAAATACTCTCTAGTATCCAAGATTCTTAGAGCCTATTTACTAATATAGATATGAGTATAATTTCCTGAATTTTATTTATGTTTTCCGTTCTCCAATTTTCTATTTTCATTTTCCTGGTTTTTTATCTCCAAATTTTTGATTTCATTTTATAGTTTTCAATCTTCAAATCTAAAAACGTGTTCATCAAAATTTTTCACCTTGTTCTGTGGTCGATAGAAAGTACGATTTTGGTTCAGGGTCGAACCTAGTACAGTCCAAGTAGGATACCTGGGTATAGAAAAGTTAGGACTGAAACAGGTCAGTCTCGGTTGATCTCAACGGCTAGTTTGACTAATTCTTTTCCCTTTTTCCTATTGGTTAACAACTCAACGGTTGCTTTGAAAAGCGGAAGGCAAGCTTTTGTAAGTGAAAAGAAGGAATACCAGAATGAAGATGAAGAAAGCTCAGATGAAGACACAAGCTCTGACAATTCAGAGGAAGGCAAGTTTTTGTAAGTGAAAAGAAGGAATGCCAGAATGAAGATGAGGAAAGCTCAGATGAAGACACAAGCTCTGACAGTTTAGAGGAAGCACTATTCTGCCTGATGGCCCATAATCAAAAGCCAGCAACAGACTCACAACTCTCAACTGACTACAGCAAAGAAATCTCTCTAAACTGACTTATGGCCAAATCGGATGATGATGAGGTAATCTCTCACTCTTCTCATTTCTCAAGCATTTCTGATTGCTCAAGCACAAACCTTGAATCCTTGTTTGCTGAATTTGAAAACATTCAGAGATCACAGATTATTTTAAAATCTGAAAATGAGAAACTTCAGGAGAACTTGAAAGTAACCCAAGCACAACTGGGTGAAGTTTTACATCAAAAAAATCTCTTGGGAACTGAAAATTTTCATCTTAAGAAAAAATTGAATATGAAAATTGAAAATTTTCATCTTAAGGAACCCTCCCACTGAAGAAGCTGAAAGAAACTGCAACTTAGCAGGATTAGGGTACAAAATGTTGTATAAACCACTGAAAAACCCTTCGGGTAGGAAGGGTGACTTCCGTAGGAGCTTTGGCTTCAAAACCGTAGCAGAGGGAGAAGGGTGTTTCACCTGTAGCGCGCCGAGGGGTAGTGCGGTAGGCCCAGAGGATGTTGTGAAGTTCTTCCACCCAGCCACCACCCTCGGCCTCCAGCTTCTTTTTGAGGCCCTCGAGCAAGGTCCGGTTGGCGTTCTCTACCTGCCCGTTGCCTTGAGGGTAGGCAACGGAGGAGAAGGTGTGTTTGATGCCCCATGCCTCTAGAAGGGCACAGAAGGGGGCTGCCTCAAATTGTGTTCCATTGTCGGAGATGATCTGCTGGGGGACGCCAAACCTTGTGAGGATGTTCTTGAGGACGAAGTGACGGCACTTCGCCTCTGTGATGCTGGCGAGGGGTTCAGCCTCCACCCACTTGGTAAAATAGTCGACGGCCACAATGATGTACCTGTTGTTGGAGGTACCCCTCGGCAGAGGGCCCACAAGGTCTATCCCCCATCGAGAAAATGGGACAGATGTGCTGATGGGGGCATAGTTGACCGCTGGCCTGCCGGGGGCTTTCTGGAAATGTTGACATGCGGTGCACCTCCGGGCAAGGTCAGCACAATCCCTGGCCATGGTTGGCCAGAAGTAGCCCTGGAGAATGAGCCTTCGAGACATGGAGAAGGGTCCCTGGTGAGCTGAGCAAGTGCCACTGTGCACTTCCTCCATTGCGACCTCGGCTTCATCTGGATGAAGGCACCGAAGTAGCGTGCCATTGTAAGATCGTTTGTAGAGCCTTCCATCTTCGATGGTGTAGCTGGGAGCCCTCAACTTTGCAAGTTTAGCGCGGGCCTCATTCTCGGGTAGCTGCCCTGTGGAGATGAAGGCGGTGATATCTGAAATCCAATCCTCCTGACGTTGTTGTATGTTCATCACGGGGCTTGCATGGATGCTTGAGAGGCTGAGTTCCTCGATTCTGGCAATCTTGGAGATGTGGTCGGGGGAGTCTGCCGAGAGTTTAGATAATATGTCGGCCTCGGAGTTCTGAGCCCTCGGTATTTGAGTGAGAGAGTGTGCCTCAAATACCTTAAGCAACTCCTTGGCCGCTTCCTTGTACTGTTTCATTCTTCCTTCCTTGGCCTCATATTCTTCGGAGATTTGGCCAACGACCAACTTGGAGTCGCATTTGATGTGGATCTGCCGAGCCCTCATGTTGGCAGCCAGCCGAAGGCCACATAGGAGGGCTTCATATTCGGCCTCATTGTTGGAGACTTTGAAGGAGAAGCGGATTGCATAGTAGGCCCTGAAGCCCTCGGGAGTAATGAGGACTACCCCTCCCCCGCATGCTTTGGTCGCGGATGAGCCGTCAGTGTAGAGGGTCCACCAGTCGTCCGAGGTAGCCGAGGGCTCCCCGTCCGTGGCTGCTCTTGCGGTACATTCTGTCACAAAGTCCGCTAGGGCTTGGCCCTTGATGGCAGGCCTTGGACGGATGTCAATGTTGTAGTGGCTCAAGAAGATAGCCCATTTCACCATGCGGGAGGAGCTGGTGGGGCTCCTCATGAGGGCGCCGAGGGGTTGATGGGTGAGGACCTGAACCGGGTGAGCCTGAAAGTAGTGGCCCAACTTCTTGACAGTCCAAACGATGGCTAACACCGTTTTTTCCACAGGGGAGTACCTGAGTTCGGCCTCCCTTAGGGTCTTGCTAACATAGAAGATGGCATGTTGGATGTCGTCTTCCTCCCGGATGAGCACGGAGCTGATGGCCGCTGGGCTAACCCCAAGGTAGAGGTAGAGGGTCTCCCCTACCTTGGGTTTGGAGAGCACAGGAGGTGAAGATAGATATCTTTTGAGCTCGTCGAAAGCCCCCTGGCATTCTGGAGTCCATAGAAAGCCAGCCGTCTTCCTCATGATCTGGAAGAAGGGTAGAGATTTTTCCGCCGATTTAGATAGGAAGCGGTTGAGGGCTGCCAGGCGGCCCGTCAATCGTTGAACTTCCTTCACATTGCGTGGGGGCTCCATGTTGATGATGGCCTGGATTTTCTCGGGATTGGCCTCAATACCCCTTCGGCTCACCATGTAGCCTAAGAATTTGCCTCCTTGGACGCCAAAGGTGCACTTCTTCGGATTTAGCCGAAGGTTGAATTTTTGCATGATGGCGAAGATTTCCCGGAGGTCGTCAGCATGGCTGGAAGATTGCTTGCTCTTGACGATCATGTCGTCAACATAGGCCTCCATGGTGCGCCCTAGGACGGCTTGAAAGACCCGGGCCACCATCCGGGTGTAAGTGGCCCCCGAGTTCTTTAGGCCGAAGGCCATCACTAGGTAGCAGAAGATGCCCTCGGGAGTCATGAAGGCAATTTTTTCGGCGTCCTCCTCGTGCATGAATATTTGATGGTACCCTCGGAAGGCATCGAGGAAGGACATGATTTCACACCCCGCGGTCTCATCCACCAATTGATCAATGTTTGGTAGAGGGAATGGATCTATGGGGCATGCTTTGTTGAGATCGGTGTAGTCCACGCACATGCGGAAGGTAGGGGGCTTCTGGGCGAGGACCACATTTGCTAGCCATGAGGGGTATTTCACCTCCTTGATGTGCTTGATTGAGAGGAGCATGGCGACCTCCTTCTTCACGAATTCCCTCCTCTCGGCGGAGAGGGGTCTCCTTCGTTGTTGTACTGCTTTTACCGAAGGGTCCACCGAGAGGCGGTGGGTGATGACCCTTCGGCTGATTCCCGGCATGTCCTCCGGCCCCCATGCAAAGACAGTGGAGTAGGCGCGGAGGGCGTCGGTGATACCGGTCTTCAAATGTTCAGGGAGCTGGGCTCCAATCTTCACGACTCTCTCTGGCGGGGCCGGATCGAGCGCAAAGTCTTCTACGTCCTCGGCCGGTTCAGCCCTCGGCCTTCTTTCCTCTTGGTCGACGGCTCCGGTGATGGTGTCAACACGGAATTCCGTCTTGCTGACCTTCTTAGTGACCTGAAGATAGCAAGCGCGGGCAATTTTTTGGTTCCCTCGGGAATAGCCAATGCCCCCCTCGGCGGGAAACTTGAGGCAGAGATGCCTCATGGAGATGATGGCTTCGAGGTCCTCGAGGGCTGGCCGGCCGAGGATGATGTTGTGAGCGCAGTCAATGTTGACGACGACGAACT